TTGCGTATGTATATTTTTACTTTAAAGGTAAGGCAACGGTGATGTTCCTTTAAATTATGTTCAGACAATTATTTTATGTGCTATCATTAAGCTTTTGAATATTGGTTGTGAAACAAATCTCTTGTTTTTGATTGGCTTGCACGACTATTTTATTTGCTTCAGTCCCTTTCAAACCAAATAAAGATCTTGGTCCCGATATTTTATGTACTACAAGCTGTCAAACGTGTATATGAAATGTGTATTTATTTGTTATATCGATGTATATATTTTAAACGAATGTTTTTAAAAGAGAGAATGTTTTGTAAATGGATTATTATAAATTATAAATATATTATTATACATGTCATACCATGTCCTCAAGTGGCTGTAAAAAGAGTATATCTTGCAATAAAAGATAAAAAATTAACGTCTGAATCAAATATCACAACGTGGTTACTTCCCTTTGATTGTATCGTATCTACCTCGGATCACCTCGGAAACAGAAAGCTTTGTTGTATCAGCTTGACAAGATCATACCAATTTCCCTTATAACCTAGGACAGGCCAATATAAATGGGATAGCTTCGCCAATAGAATATGATTCTATGTTCCATTAATCATCTAAAAAAAACATATGATCTTCCCTTGAATGCCTCGGATAAGGTTATTCGGACACGAACCTATTTTCTCTATATTATCTGATGACATATCAGTATCATATACAATGTGGTGTGAAAAGTAGCTTCTGTATTTCGATACGAGCAAGTAAAATAAATTAAGCGGTGTCTGCAGAATATCGCTCAGTTCATTGTTTAAATAGGCGCTTTTGATAGCTCAAGCTATGTTACACCGGAAGTAGACGTCCTCACTTAAGCTCAGGAAATTAGCCCAGAGCATGTTATGGTCGCCATGTCCAAGGCGTGGTATAAGCGTGAATGGAGCGCCAGATACCGTATGGTTGGCACCATTGTCGCCAATATTCGACGTTGAGATCGCCACGGATTCGAGAATGACTTTAGACATCCCCATATACGCAATAAAAATGAAGTACATTAAGCCAATAGATTGTAACACGCCTAGAGAACGCAATATGTTCGCATATGTCGCAGGTCGATACCGACGTTTGCTGGAGACCAAGCTGGTGTAACGGGGTAATTCTCGACGCACTTGCCCGAATCAGTCCATCTAATCGGTCTTGCACCATGGAGGGTAAATAAACCTAGTACTCACGATTCGAACCGCAAAACCAAACCCACAATTCAAACAACATACTGGCGAAATATTAGTAGCAGCTATTGAACTTTCAAATTAGGAAGTATATCAATCATAAATGAGGAAGTATGTCATAATGAAAAGTGGTATCAGGTGTCTAGAAGAGTAACATACCTTGTCTGGCGCCACAATATCATGGCTGCCTAGGAAGTATTCGAGATTTGACTCGTTTCAGGGAAGAAAAGGTGTGTTCATCTGTCGAAGAACTTCCTTACTAGTAACTAGTTGGCATTTCTGTGTGTTCAAGGTCTTCATCAATTTCAATAATTTCAACTTCATCTGCATCAAGGTGTTGGCCAATTGACAAACTTTTGCTTTATCTTTGGACAGTTCCTGCGAAACTCAAAACTTCTGCTGCACAGCGTACCAAAATCAACTCGATATTCGGACAGCTTCCATAGATGTTCTGTTGTAAAACATCAAATTCTGCAGATTTCGGTTAATTTATTTAAGGAAAATTCATGTAACCTTCACCTGCATCATAACCCACAAATGTAGTTCGAGTCACGAATCATCTTATAGAATGTATGGTAATTGGCACCTTTAACTGAATTGAGCTTCCCAATTTAGCAATTTAGTTGAGTAGCACAGACTGCGAATGCAATTTTGAAGAATGAAAGTACAGGAATGAAAACAATGGACGTTATCACTTATCTGCTATGTTCACCTTTTGAAGACTGGAAAGAAAAATATGATTCAACACATCTAAAAGAGAGGGGCGCTGCTGTGCCAATTGCAGGACTTATGCCGACTAGTGTTAAAAAAGGGCGTTTAGCGTCCCATTCTCCCCCGGTCATCACGCCACTTGATTTCTGCAAATATTATAGACCTATACTGCACATTTTTTTTATTCCTTTGGGGAAAACATAATACAAACAGAATGCATTTTTTGAAGCACATTGAACACTTATAGAACTTTTTGGTGGAACAAAAACATAACCAGAGCAAGAGTTTTCCCTAATCTGTTCGCTTGTGGGCTATATACTGTGATCAAGAACAATTGTTCTTTAATTTCCACTATTATTCATCATAATTATACATAATTAACACTGTCAACTAGTTTTTCACATGAACTAGTATTTTTTAATTAATTGATCAATTAACATCAATGTTTCCTTCGCTAGACCGCTGATCATTACATGTGTTCAAAGGTTTTTAATCCAAGATAACCCTGGTCTTCTCTTCTATTTTAAGAAACAAATGTCGTAAAAGCGAAATTAATCTTTAATAAGACCAAATAACGTACAGAAAATATCTAAACCATACACTGAAAGATGACATGTACCTCTTTCCATTTAATTAGTCACGATGCTAATTAGAATTTCCTTATGGATGTTTCACAAATAACATGCTAACAACAAGGGTATAACATGTCTTTAAAATGATAGTTTGGTATAATTTGATATTACGATCTTTTTAATAGTTGACCTGACGGTAATTTATTCTTATATTTTGTATACCTTGCAATGTGACTATCAGTATACTGCCAGGGGTCGTTCAGGTAAGAAATCTTTGTTCTTTTAGGTTTATGAATACACGCACCAAATATTTTCAAAATCGGTTATATTCTAAAGAGTTTACGATGATATGTGAACGGTTCGGCGAACATGGGTACCGAAAATATTTGGCCACATAAAGAGATGAAAGATTATATCGTTGAACACAGGGAGCAAAGATTAAGTCACAATTTTCTTTTTCATGAAGATGAGATACACTCCCCCTTTAATGATAAGTTTTTCAAGTTTTTGACAAATATTTGGATAATCTAGGGACATTGCAGTAGTATATTTTCATTTTTTCTAGATTTGAAGACAAAAGTTTTTAGAAAATAACTTTATTATAAAGCGAGTGGATTGAATAAATCGTCAAAGTGGATGACCTTGTGTTTAGCTGAATTATTGTTTATGTGCTATTAACTCGCTACGCTACGCTTTTCGTAGTACAAAATGTTCTCTGGTTTAACCATTGCTCTCTTAACGATAATTAGTCTAATAATTTTTATTTCAATATTATTAAACATTATACAAATCATGGTAATGAGGAAAATGAACCCAAGACTACAAGTGGTAGCTATTCCAACATACAATTTATCAATTGTTTGCCTTGTTTGTTCATGTCTTTCTTATCCAACTTCTGTTCTTCGGTTTGGTTTTGGGATGGAGACTATACCTAACAATATGTGTCCATTAATGATTATCATACCAGCTTTCACTGCAATTATGATCAATCTGGCTTTTCTTATTTTAGCTATAGAACGTTATCTGTCAGTCGTCTATCCGTTATTCCATAGACGTTTGACAACTAGAAATTTTAAGTCAGTCATCTATAGTAAATGGATCGGAACATCTTTCTTTCTTTTATTGATGGTGGCTTTCTCGCGTGAACCAAAAGGCTGCCAAAGAAACAAACTTGTTTTAGCATTTGTGGTAACTAGTGTGGGCGCATCGATTATTGCCACTATAAGTATCTATATAAAATTATTTAAAGCTGTGAAAATGAGAATTTCTGTAAGAGGAAATACTGCGTTTCGGAGATCCAAATTAAACCATTGTTATATTAGTTTTACCATGAATGTAATATTTGTTGCTTTGTGGGTTCCCGCTAATATTGGTATGCTACTGACTAATACATTACTTCCAAATTCTCCAACATTACACACATTTGGCATTCCTGTTATCTTGGCATCTTTATCATTTTTGAGTAACACTGTGACCTCTCTTCATAAATGTCCGAGTTTCAGAAAGCAATTTATATCCTATTTTAGATCACAAAGAGAACATACACAGACTGTGCCAGATATTCATGTTATATCACAACCTAACATCTCACCAACTATGAGTGTGTTGCCTTGATCTTCTAACTTTAAGATTACTAACCAATAGATGTATTAGTGGGTCACCATGGGACACTTGAACTTAATCCACAAACTTAAAATATAGTGGAACTTAATCAGACTATATGTATAGGTAAGCCGATGAACTGCAGATCAAGCCTAACATGAGCGTTTATAATGCAAATTGTGCGAGAAATCGAATATAGTATTTATAAGTGTTTATTATTAGTTACTGGTGCGTCTTAGTTGGTGTGAAATAACATCTGATAAAAATGATATCATGAGATCTTGCTCATTGGCCTTTAGTAATTATGTTTCTAGATGTAAATGAAATAAGATAATGTAGAAATAAAATTACAAATGTTTTTTAATCGCACAGTTTATAGGAGTAATTGGAACTATTGACTTCGAATTCGAAAAGGTTTTAGCCTATTATTGTACATGTAGAGATCATGTTCTTGTGATTCAGTAGACTGATGCAAAACAACCTGGATCTATCCACGATATGTGGACTTTTGACAAGGGTACAATTACCCAATATTAAAGTTTGCAAAAACAGCTACATTTTGTCGGTATTACAAGACATACAAACCTTTTTATCAATTCGGAAAAGGGTATACAGTATAACACACAAGAAGCACCAACTGGTGTTCTGAATGGGGATTCAGATTTGCCTACACCATTGTGCACCAAGCCGGATACAACGTTAAAGTGATTGTGAATAAAGGGAAGCAACTTAGGTTGATGCATGGACTCGAACCACATTAGTGTATTTGATATTCTTTGGAAAATTGGTGAAAAAAATGGAACAAAGGAAAATGTTCCTTGTGGAAAGACTTATTTCTCTTTGAGAAATTTGGATGGCCCTGATAAGGGCCGTTGGTGATATAGACTCCGTTTAACATGAAGTGATCTGTTCATTCATTATCTGAATCTGAATTGTCTTCTTCCTCGGAATGTGATTCTTGCTCTAACTGTCTCATTTCTTCTATAATATCACCATTCGCAGCAAGTCTACCAAATAACATTTGCCAGATGATGCGTATTTCATCCGATTTTCTAGAAGCGAATTCGTCATAGTAGGATCGGAGACGTTCCACAACCAACAGTCGTTGACGCAGGACATAACGGAAAGACTTTCTGTTGTCTTTAACTGCTTTGGTATATCGCTTCTCGATCTCGTTGATTTTTCTATCGAGGTGAATCACTTGTTCTTTGGATCGTTGGTAACCATATTCAGCTGCCTTCAATTTGGCCAACAGATTCTGGCGTTCATCAAAGTCTTTGGTAGAAGCCATGTCGTAGGAATATTATGTTGAAAAAAGGAATAACGAAACAGTAACTTGTTCTGAAATGCTGAGGAAGAATAGAGAACTTCAGCTCAGTAACCAATGATGATAAAGAACAACATTTGGCGTATTTTATAGAAGTACCCTTGACTTTGTTATTGTTAGCAATAACTCAAAGTGTCAACCGATAATCAATGTCAACGCTCAGACTTTTGTTTACAATTATTTTCCTTTAATTAACAAGAAGCCATATACAAATTTCTCGGCGTTCTTTAATTAAACTCATCAGGGTTAACGGATTATCGAATCATCATTTTGATACCATTCTTTTTTAATGAACTTCCTATGATCTCTTATGCAAGAAATCGGTAGGCGTTTGTGATTCAATTACGAGTTCTTTATTTCCTCGTACATGCCCATCCACCATTGCCTCTTTACAAAATAAAATCATTACAAAACGAAACAAATACAACACATCAAAAGCGCGTTAGGGTTCAAACTTTGTGATTATATTAAAAAAAATGAATAAGATATTTTATCTCTATGTTGGTTATAATTAGCGTACCTTGTTTCATTACCATGTTGTTAATAGCATTATAAGATTAACAAAATAAACAAAATATAAATAGTTGTCAGTATTATGTTATACCACAGTCTATTGAACTATAAATATCTATGGAAATGGTTTTAGTCATACAGCTTTATTTACGCTTTTAAATTTCATTAGTTCGCACAAAGATATAGTTTGATTTCTAAAATGTAAAATGACTGCAACTTTATTGATCATCTAAATTATTAAAGCGATAGATTTTATACGCCCAAGTTCACGTAGTGCCGTCGACCCAGTGTGTAAAAATATGCTGGTGTAGATCCCAAAGCTGATGATGTTTCTTTGCCAACGAGTCACCAATAGCTTGTATATACGATAAGGTCTCGAACAATTTCGAAGTGACGATGTTTGGATAAACTGTTTTAGAATTATTAACCCTGAATTTAGGAAGCACGTCATTATTAGCCTTTTAACCAAATAGAAGGTAAAATCTTATGCTTATGTGGATTATCCAGATGCCTCAATGTAGGGTTTAGACATTTTGACCGTGACGTAATAAAAACGCGCAGAAATTATCATGTGACCACAACAGAAGGAAAGTTTGGGACATCGTATGCTTATATGGAATGATGAGATCTCAGACAAGTTTGAATGACAATATTTAAATAAACGGTTTTTACAGGTTTATAAATCTCAATCAGTTTATCGGCATGATAGAAACTTCGGACGAAACTGAAATTAATGAGATCCATCCGATCATAAGTTAAAGTAAAAACTTTGAAGAACTTGCCTGGCAATATATTGTTTAAAGGGTTGAAATCTGTCAAGAAATAAGTTGATAAGTGGACCAAGTCACTTTTTGATGACCATTCTTTAAAGAAAAGTATTTTTAACGGAAGATGTATGTTACAGAACAGTTTTTCCATTCCCTGGTACTGGAATATCTTTCCAGCGAGCGTTTAAGAGTTTCATAAATCAAAATGTATTTTTCAAGATTATTTAATGAAATATTTCCATTTCTGATTTACTAATATAACATACAGTAATTTGTATTGCGAGTTTTAAGCAAATGGTATAATATGAATGGTATGAAATCGCTTTAATAAGTTAATACAGGTCCAAGGGGAAAACGATAACAATCCAATATTATATAGCTACTCAAACCATGAACCATTAGTCGTTCCGATGGAAGTTGTTTCACACACAAATCTTACAGTTCCAACACCAGTCTTACCTATAAATGGTTGTAGTGAACACGGAAATGGCTACTCATCTCCAGCTACGTCTCCTTCCACCGTAAAGGAGACGTTTACTGCCTTACGACCAAACCACAGGAAGTTGATAATGGACCGATATCAGAATGGAGTTGAAAAGGTAATTCGGCTATTTTGTTAATATAAACTTACTAATGTTAAATGAACCTTCTTGTCAACCTCTTGCTGATGCAATTTGGGCTCTATATATACAACTTTTTCTTCTTTTTGCCATCTTCTTGAATTTGCTCTATCGCGATGTAGCCTTGTTTAGAATTCCCAAAATAAAGTGGACGTTTATGATTTTTCTTTAGAGTCTGTTTCCCAGAATGTAAAAAGTATCAATTGACCATGTTTAACATTCGAAAAACTCTCCTTTAGAAGAAAAGATGGCTAAAAAATAATTCAAATTTATCAAATCTAGTAATATATGTAGCAATTACTAGAATTTATCCTTTATTTTTTTTTTCGGGGCTGGGGGTGGATTGAGGGGGCTTTGATAACAATTTATCTGAAGGTAGCATATCGGAGAAATTCTGCAAGGCCGAAAATATTTTAACAAGGGGTTATGGATCAGTTTGAAAGAAATATATAAATCTGATATTGACTTAGGCCTCTTGGGGGTGCTGGATAATTACGTCTATTCTATGTTAAATGGTATTCTTTTTATTCCAAGATTTGCTTAAATTATTGCTTTTTTACCCATCCATGTAGCAATTTCATTACTTTGGTATGTCAATTATGATAGAAGCTAATTGTCAGACTTTGATGGTACGCAAGAGAACATCGATGAGATTTCGAAGTTTGAATTGGAGGATACTTAAACTGAGATGCATTTGGTGTACTTGTGTACATTGGTCACATAAGTTTGTTGTTAGAGTGGAAACAGGACATAACGTCATGTGTTGGGGGCAGTTTGGCATATCATTTTTATATGAACGATTAAACACTTTCTTTCCATGCCAGTACCTCCGACCAGCATCACTGACAAGGATAAATCGTTCTGGAAATCCCACGGTATCATCTTGACCTATGCCATATCTTGTTGAAAGCGAGTACATTTCTTAATCGCTAGCCAGCAAGGGTCCATCCTGGTAGTTCAATTAGTTACTATCGTTTTGACGCTGTTAAGTTATGTTATGTTGACAAAAGTTGATAATGCGCATGTATTGTACAATGAGAAGACCCCTTTACATGCTTTTAGATAACTTTTGGAAGAACTGATGAAAGAGTTGCAGTTTTCTTGTTTTGATTATGTTAATTATAAGCTGACAGGTATTTAATATACGGAATTTGTTATCAAAGGTGGTAACTGGAACCTTCCTTTATGTAATGCAATTATAACAGATGGCAACTCATTATCACTTATTGATACATTATGATATAATAGTGAATTATTATAAAAGGTGAATTATAACAGTACACAAGTCATGTTGCCCCACCAGAGTGAGAGTTATAGGGGAAGTCTATTACATATTGACAATTTGACCCCAAGCTTTGTCTCTTCTACTTGGTTGAAATAATTCCGAGCTACCCACTGGTTTTAATGATAAATAATGAAGAAGGTGTATATTATACTAATGGACCACGATAAATGTCAAAGCTTTACTTGCGGATATAGAAAAATCAATGAAAATATAGAATAATAGAGTGATATTTGTGTTAAGAGTTAATATTGTCATTTGGTAATTTATTCTATCATATTAAACTATCTATTCACACCGATAAACTCATACATACGCATGTCAATATCAATACCATCATATCTAGTCCCGTAGTTCATAAATAATTAATTTTTTTATTTTCTCTGACGCGTCATATTCAAATTTGAAATGACTTGGATATAATGCCAAAGCTGCCTAATAAATATATCATTCCTTCATTGAATAGACCAGTTGCAATATAAAACTGACACATCAAGTTGGCACTCTCTGCTATTGCTTATCGACAACGGTTTTAATATCAGGAAATACGGTGTCATTAGCAGACTGTTTGTACATGAAACATGAAATCAAATTAAATATGTAAATGCCTTTAATTCAATTATGGCAACCATTGTTCTATGGATAATTCGTGTTATGATGTAATTTTGGATTTGTAAAACATGACGACTGTATATAAGCAGAAATCCCTAGATGTACCTAAGGTAGGTGAAATAATCAATAGTTGTTATGAGAGATAAATGTTATAGCAGGTCATATTGTCATATCATTTTGAAAGCTCAATAACATCAAGTCAACAATCAAACAACAAGTCCTTACGAGGCCCATCAGTTTTCATGAAAGTGCATCTAAAAATAGGTCAATGAAGGTGGTTCGATATTTCTGATATTTGTTTACAATACTTCTAATATATATGTCGACAAGCTTAAATGTTTGATATTTAAACAGATACGATTATTAACGTTATTAATGGTTTTAGAATAAGTGAAGTTATTTTTTTCATTAACAGAAATCTTGATCGTCCAATAGCTTTCGAACTTATTTTTTGTAAATGTTTTTTCACAAAATGTTCCGAACTAGTTACTCTTTAGTTAATTATATGAAAGAAACATTTCATCGCTCAGACAAATTCCGAAGTCGACATGCTCACCTTTCTTAGCCACTCTGTTGTGGGCTTAGTCGATATACATGTATATCTTTTTATCACTGAGAGTCCACATGGCTCATATATTCATAAATTTTGCCATTATAAAGTGCGAGTTGCATTCTTGAAACATCTGTCACACTGCGCTGCTATGCATCTGGTTTATTTGAGCGAACTAATTGGCATTCGCAAGTCTTCTGTGATAAGAATCAAAAATATGTATATCACTGACAATAGCTAGTCTCTTGGTTGACATATATCAATTCCAGAATGAAAATAAATGAAATTATGGTCCATAAGTAGAGATTTTAGTGACTGCAAACGGAAATCGTCATAATCAAAGTATTGGCCATTTGGACCATTGTTCTGGTATCAAAGAACAGTTCTTTGACAGACACCAACAGAACTTGCTACTGTTCCTCAGAATTCGCCGTTGACCAAACACCAGTTTCATTCTTTTCCGCTTTTTCAAGGGCAACCGACATTTTGTGCTTCCAAAAATTCATATTCAAGAAAGAAAAGACACCACTGAGCACGAAATAGATACAGCCACTCAAGTAAAGCCCCTCAAAGTTCTATAAACAAAGAGTAATATAATATTGAGAAATAATTGCCAAATCAAATTGTTTGCGATATTGGATACTCCAGGTTTACTCAGGATTTAATTAATAAATTAACTTCAATTATGAGTTTATTCGTTCTATTGCATTGATAGATTTAGAAATCTACCATACTAGTACCAAATAAAAATTTTAAAAATGTCCTCAGTGTAGCATACTGGTTGTGCATACGAAAAAATGGCATCTTTATAAAGATTACAACTTTAGACAATGTTCAACTTGTAAAACTAAATTCATTTCCTTTTTTCAATTTTATAAGGACTGAGCGCTGCATACGAGTCGCGGTCAGCCATGTCAATTATACTGTTGACTGCAATTATATTTTAATTGGTGTTAACAGATGTGTTTGCCTTGACAAAGTAGTCATATCCTGCCTCTATTGTCAACGTTTAAAGATGTGCTAACGAAACACCGGCTTGTAATCATGTGGTTTTTTCTCTATTTTGTTCTAGACACAAGTGTTTCTACGGGTTGTATTTTTGAAGATAGGAGAAATCAACACTCTGAAGGAAAAATATGCAGCAGATGTATTTTTACAAGCCAGATGGCAGCTACCACCAGGTCACCAAAAGCCCACCAGATTAGTAAGTAAAGAAACATACACCATGACTAGTGTTTATAATATAGTTTATGGTTTATAATATGCCATGACTAGTGTTTTTCATATAGTTTATGGTTTATAATATACCATGATTAATGTTTATAATATAGTTTATGGTTTATAATATATCATGACTAGTGTTTATAATATAGTTTCTGGTTTATAATATACCGTGACTAATGTGTATAATATAGTTTATGGTTTATAATATACCATGACTACTATTTATCATATAGTTTATGGTGTATAATATACCATGACTAATGTTTATAATATAGTTTATTGTTTATAATATACCATGACTAATGTTTATAATATAGTTTGTGGTTTATAATATACCATGACTAATGTTTATAATATATTTTATGGTTTATAATATACCGTGATTAATGTTTATAATATAGTTTATGGTTTATAATATACCATGACTAATGTTTATAATATAGTTTGTGGTTTATAATATACCGTGACTAATGTTTATAATATATTTTATGGTCTATAATATACCGTGATTAATGTTTATAATATAGTTTATGGTTTATAATATACCATGACTAGTTTTTATCATATAGTTTATGGTTTATAATATACCATGACTAGTTTTTATCATATAGTTTATGGTTTATAATATACCATTATTAATGTTTATCATATAGTTTATGGTTTATATTATACCATGACTGATGTTTATCATATAGTATATGGTTTATAATATACCATGATTAATGTTTATGATATAGTTTATGGTTTATAATATGCCATGATTAATGTTTATAATATAGTTTATGGTTTATAATATACCATGACTAATGTTTATCATATAGTTTATGGTTTATAATATGCCATGATTAATGTTTATCATATAGTTTATGGTTTATAATATACCATGACTAATGTTTATCATATAGATTTTGGTTTATAATATACCATGACTAATGTTTATCATATAGGTTTTGGTTTAAAATATACCATGACATATTTGAGGATAATTGTAACTGCTAACTTACTTATGAAAATAATATGCTGTTTATCTGCAAAAAATACTCTACTTAATAGTTTTATATAACACCTACTCTTTACTCTATAGCAATAATTTTTAATTGCTGAAAGGTACTTTATGCCTAAAATATTATATATATTTTGGCATTTTCCTTGGGATGTTCCACAGTATCTGATAATCATAACCTCGTTGCCGAAATCAGTGCCAGCATTTCAATTACAAGTAGGAAAAAATAATAACTTTCTAGAAAAATTTGTAAAACTTTGTCCATTTTGTTATAGACTGATTACAATAAAGATTCTGTCTGGAATCCACAACTTATAATAGAGAATGTGTTAGGAGACAGTCGAGAAGATATTTGGAGATATGCTGAACCTTCCGCCGATGGCAAATTATCTATTTATGAATGCAGACGAGTTAAAGGTGTATTTATTGAGAATCTAGAATTACAACACTTCCCATTTGATACACAGGTAAGCTTCTATGAACGTAATTTTTGAATGAGAGTATGGCCATAATGTTTCCATCCTTTTATGAAAAGTAGAGGGTAGGTGGATGGCAAATTAACGCTGGCTTACAGCAAACAAGGTAGTTGTCGGTAGTCGTAGTAGTTGGTAGTTATTATGAAAGTGAATAACCAGATATCTTTGTATGTGTTCTCGTGGGCCATAAGGTTTTACCAGCTCGTCAGAGGCTCAAATAAGGGTGGATGGTGGAGGTTCAGACATCCTCATGGTAGTGAATGAATTACCATATATTGTCGCTCAATGCCAAAACAATCGCCGGGACCGATCCATAAGACCCTCGGTTAGCGAATTACTCCGCTTTTTTTTAAGGAACTCTCCTTAACAATATCATCAGAGTTATCCGAACTGGAAGTTGAACTGTTAGAAGAAGCTGAGGAACTGAGTAGTGTCAATAAACAGAGTTTTGTAGATGAACAGGAATGGAGGCTATATGAACATGTCGAGATGTTTCCTAAGATATCAACTAAAGAATATACTAGTTCTAAAGATAGACATCCAGTTATGTTAGTTATGTGTCATGCTGCAAGAAGGCCTGGATTTTTCATTTGGAACATTTTTCTTATTATGGTAAGCTTCCATAAATACAAATTCCTACTATAATCAAGTAGTTCTTCACCAAAAGTTGTGATTTTGTCTACAATAATCCAACTAGAATGCACCAGTCATATAACATTGCTGTTATCAATAGGCAATGTCTGTTTTGAATGCTGTAGGTCGCAGTGGCTCCATCTGTCAGTGATGCAGATCGGAGTGGCTGCATAGGAAAAAACCGCATGTTATCATTCAACGGGAAAATAAATCGAGGCCGTGTTTTTCTACAAGCTGTGAATGTTTGGCCCCTTTTAAAGATCACTTGGAAGTTCAAATTGTAGGTTAGTGCCACTGACTTATAAAATCCCCTTTCATTATACATTGCATGGCGTTGCCTGTCTTCATTTGCCCAATCAGGACAAAAAAACTCCACTTCATTTTATTCTTTTCAGATGCTGATAACGTTGCTTTCATTTGCAACTTTTGCTGTTGAAATATTTTTGACACAGAATCGTTTACAATTGTCTTTCACTTTGATGTTAACTGGAGTTGCTTTTAAATTTGTGGTGAACCAATCTTTACCACGGATATCTTATTTAACTTATTTGGTAAGTGAATTATCAAACCTATATACATGTTGTAAGAAGGGTCATTTTATCCATCGAATTTACTCAATATGGAAATAAAAAAATTAGGACAATCAAATTATTCGTCTCAAGTAGGTAGGGAGGTCGAAATATTCGTCTGATAAAGTACGTAGGCAAATTATATTAGTAAGTACACGTAGTAAGTTTGAATAGAAATAAAAAAAATCAGTTTGCTGGATTAGTTAATAGTTTTACTAGATTTTTATGCTTGAAATATATACATTTGTAGCAGTATGCTTATTTTTTCATTTACAACACTAGTCTAATTTCTTAACTGCTGGCGCGAATGTACAACAAAAATCATTCCTAATCGTCGATATGAACTTTGTAAAGGCAGAGCTTAAATATCCCAAGATACTCAGCCTTTTGAACGCCTTTTATTTTATGTAAATGAAGACCGATTTCTGAATAATATTTTTCTGCTTAGTGGCAGCTCTGGGAATTGTGGATTATATCGTAATATATTACAGTGTTATTAGTAGATGAATTTAGACAGATTTAGACACCTTTTACATTTAAAGGAAGGATAACAAATTAGCAATCTAATTCACACCATAAGAATCTTGAAATTATATTGCACTTTATTAGTTTTGTTTACTAGAAAGGAATCGATGATGATTAAGTTGAAATATTTTTGAATATTGAATATGTTTCGAATAGTTTCAATTTAAAACTACAAAACAGGCCTATAGCCAGACTTGATTGTTCATAGGGGCAAGTAATATATCCAGAGGGGAAATGGTGTTTACTTGCAATTGAATTGATCGATTGTCGGAATTTTTTCAGCGGGAGGGGGTGCATTTTCCATATATATTGAAAATCATAAGTGTTAATTTGTATCAGTATTGTATTTATATCAGTTACCTACGATCGTTTTTGTAAAAATTTCCGTAAACTGGTTGGACGATTTAACCCATTTCGACAGATCTGTGGCTTGAAGTGTTTGGTTATCAGACCTGATCAACCAAATATTATCTCATTTTAGTCTGGTATTGATATGACCTTAATGACGGAATAAGATCCTGATCACATCATTCTATACTCGCTAATGATATTGATTGAGTTGGAAAAATAGAGATAATTGTTTCATACACTGAATAATTCTCCTGTCCCTTGAGTTGTAAGTTGTGGAATAAATTTCACACAATCACTTTTTTCATGAATATTGGAACATTATATTTTGGCGCGACTTAAAGTTGCAACTATGAATTCTTTTTGAGAGTAATATGAATGCAGTGGTCTAATAATTTTTTTCGTTAGAGATGCTGATATAACAAAATTTGAACAAATGATATCAAATTGTACTCCAAACTGTATTTTTAACACCGAAGTGGTACCAGTCGAATCTGCTATTAAAGTAAATTATTAAATAATTGCACCTCAGTATGTGGAATAGCTAAATGACTTCCTGTTCCCTAGAGACAAAATTTCGATCATCCTCGTAATTAGGATTCACCAAAGACGCAGGCGATTTGAGAATTGTGTTTCAAGTGACCCTCGGGGATAGCTAAGATAAATGGGCTCCCATAAGTGATATATCTTAATATATCTATAAAAAAAAAATTTACGATGTCCTCCACAGTGTGACATATCACAATATATTCTTGTATTGCATGCATATGTACATGATATATGTTCCTATATTTTTATTAGTAGTCGAGTAGAATCCGTCCCTAAGCATGAGCAGTAATAAGAATGCTTTCAATTGTCTATTTGCAGGATAAGTATATATTATCCTCAATGGTTTATATCTGCCTGGTTTGTATATGGCACTCTGTTATTGGGCAGTTACACGCTAACAATATGGATTCCATGGCTAAAAATCTCGACTGGAAAGCTTTGGTGTGTTTTGTATCAGCCTATATTCTAGCTCATTTTGTTTTTACTACATGGATCTATAAAAATGTAAGTATGGATTCAACAGTACAGACATTACCAACAAACCAGAATGTATCTAATTATATATTTTATCATTTTTGTCAATTCGCAGATTTAAGAAAAAAGGTACCTTATTATTTCGTTTTCATTACGAAATTTTAAGGAATATGAAATATTATCGAATTAGTTGTGTGGCAACATTATGTAGAATACTCCCATGTTTCCATATTGTTAACGCGTTCCGCGTCTTTTAGCGCCTTTGTTCCTCCAGAGACATCGTAATGCCAGTCTGCTGAAGGTGTCATAACCTCAAAACTTTCAGATGCACAGATTGTTAATATTGCTTTTACTTCAGCCTGATAGAAAAGTCTATTAATGGGACAGGTTCGCCTTTTTCGGGGCTTGATTTGATATAGTAAATAGTTTTCAGAAGTATTAGAAATTTACAAAACTCGCATAATTCCTTTAAAAATACCTCAAATTAGGAATTTGACTTTCCATTTCTATATATGTCTTTTCTAGTAAAGTCTCAAGATTTGAAATTTCGACGGTTAAAATAATTCCAGTTTCCCTTGAAAGACTTAAAAAAAAATCAGAATAAACAACTGATGGAAATGCCAGCATTATGTAATAATTAATATTAATTTACTTTATAATGAATACTTTTAGTCTTGGAGTAGAAGAAAATTGATGAACAGAAAGGATGATCTTTTCAAGGTTCGTGCTTTTCCTGAACGGTATCCAAACTTGTATCGGAAAAAGGCTTGGATCCTCTCTAAATCATTGTAATCTTTCTCGATATCAGCGATATTTGCCATTGAAGGAAAAAGATTTCTTACTGATTGTAACTATAATGGTGTATGAAAATTCGTGAAATTGGTAATATCACTTTCATCATTAACTCTATTTGAAATTACCTCCCTTACCACATATTATTTGAACTCGGATCATTTGATTGAATGTGCTTGTAATAACTTCAACCATTTCTTTTTTCAGGAGAAACTAGAAGCCATTATTCGAGAAACAAATAAGAAAGACACGGCCTTCAAAAAGAGAAGGCAGAGTATATGGAAACCAGCAAGTAGTGTTAAGAAATCGTGGGACCCAGTCTAAAGACTACGACATAGGTCAACTGTATCAAAAACACTGTCTTTAATTCCTAATATGCAATTTAAATATTCCAGTATAGTGCTTTTTGTTATCCTCGTGTAAAGATAAGCCTTCCTGTCGCTTGAACTTTGAAATCATAATGTCCCTTAAGAGTCACGTTGCAGAACACATTTATAATAATTGACAATGGCAACACAAGGTATATCAGAGCCATTATGGACTGTCGCTAGTGTAGTATGCATTGTAAGCATAAAAAAGAACTTTGGACTTCAACCAAATACTTCCTATAATAATGAACTGAACTGCATAATACGATGTAGTGTAATGGGCAACGTGGTACAAACCGTTGTAGCGCATAACTGCATTGAATCTTTGAGTGAATAAACTCCAAGAGAGCAATTCTTCATGGACCATTCCAATGGATCATCACTATCATTACAGTTAATCTGTAATGATTCAATTAAGATGTTGTTCCAGTTTTCAAAATTTGTCTCAATTTCAGAAATTGACAAATCAACTTCATACCTACTATTACGTTTATTATCCTTGGCGAATGTTGATATTTTGCTATGATCAATTCATTACTTAATAATTGTTGTCGGTATTTGAATTAAGCCAATTAAACTTAACCTGATACCTGTTGTTGTAGCGTTTGTATACCCCCAATGATTGATAGTAGCTGAAGAGGAGGGGGCAGGGGACGTTAAAGTTCCAAGTGAATGATACACGAAATAACCATTGCCATTTATTTACAGACTGTGTGGTAAATGTTCTCAGAATTTAGATTCCAGCAAGTTGCCACAATCGCTAGAAAGGAAATTTTAATTGGATGCAACTATCCGTAAGGCAGTGGCTCAACTGCCATAGCGATTGGTTGAACCAAGTCCACGGGCCACAAGAAGAAAACGCAGAAGAGCAGAAGAGAAATTCCTGGAGGGGCCCCAACTGATCTAGAGTCACTGTCGATGAATTAATAAGTAAAGATGACTATTTCAATATGAACAAAACATATTTACTCAGAGTAATAATAAAAATATAAAGACCAAGGTTCGGGGATATATATAATACCGGGGTATTTCTTCCTCATGACGTCATTATTCCACAGCGCACCGACCCAGACCACAATTAAAATATTAGTTAGTGTAAAGGTATAGAATAGAAATAAACCATTAATGTCCGGATATTTCCCCTGATTATAGTGATATACTATTGATAACAACATAGCGAAATAAGTAAATATATATACCACAAATATCTGTCCTTCTGTAACCAGATACCTGAAAAAAGTATGTATTACCCTTTCCTGGATACATGTCGATATAACCAAAGAATGATATGCATAAATCAAGAATAAACTATTGTACAATTTTGCATAATAAAAACAAATGATGAACAGTAATTTTATTACCTATGAGGAATCTCAGTCACAATGGTTATCATGCCCTAACTGACCAATGACAGTTATATTTGTAAAGGGAATTTAAATAAATTTTTTAAACTAAGTTTACTTAGCGACAGGAGAACTAGTAGTATCGCGTTTGTCAATAACAATCGAACGTTGGGTTTACTAACAAATGTAATCCAGAATGCTTTTGTCAAATTATTCTAAAGAGAAGAAATGAAGATATACCATATATAAATTTAATACTCACCAATAATAAACAGCACTGATTATCAATAACAAATAAATGGATGGACTAATTCTAGATTTCTCACTGAATGATTTGATTTGGAAAGATCCAAGAAAGTACAGAAGCAGACTCAAGAAGAATGGAATATACCTACAAAATAATGTAATAAGATTTTATTAAATAAGAGAATAAGTCAGTACCTCGGTCTTAAAACATACAAATATCATTACAAACCTGATGGTCAGTTGGACGGACGGAAAGTGTGACGACGATAGTCACGATACCCCTCCTGCCCCATCTCCCATAAGAATAAAACAAAGAAACATTCAATTATGATGATCTTGTTCGCGGCTGGTTAACTAATTTTTTCCAGACAAGCCTAGATCTTTTAGACTAACACTTGACCGATTGAAACATAAATTGATGGACCCAGTCTAGACTTCTCTGTGAATGATTTGAATTGAAAAGATACAAGAAAATGCAGAAGCAGACTCAAGAAGAATGAAATGCACCTACAAAATATGTAATAAGATTATTTAAAAGAATTTAGCCAGTACATCAGTTTCGAAATCAAAATCGAAGACGGATTGTCCGATCATCGGCAATATCCTTGCATTTTCCCTAATGGAAAGAATCCAACTAGAATTGGAACCACAAGTGACAATGAAACACCGTCGCAAAACAATATTCAATAGCGATGCTTTAATCTGTTGTCGACACGTTAGCCATCCTTAAAAGTTAAACATAGATCTTTCAAACATACACTTGATCGGTTACAGATCTAGATGAACCCTCTATTCAACATTATTTTCACCAACGGTATTGAAAAACATCCTTACCACATAAGATGTCCTATAACTTCGTCGTAGGAATACAAAAGTTCGAACGAATCAACCTGCAATGGTAAACATTTTGTAATATTTTACCTTTTCAAACAATAAAGATAACAAAAAAGTCTAGTTAATCTGGTTTCAGCATGAAAGCTATAGGATCATTTTGATTAACAGCTCTCGAAATAGAGCTTGGAAAACGTGACCACGTGGAACAAACTGACATACAAGTCACGATATAGATATTCCGACACTGGATTGTCTATTGATTTCTTGTTAACAGAAAATTCAATCTTTTAAAATGATAATTACAATATTAAAAGCTTCATTTGATGCCCAAGGAATCATTCTACATCTATTCAAGTAATATATAAACACGAATAACGTGATACAGAGAAAGGAAAAAAGAATATAATGCAAATTAAACTGAAATGTAAAGTCACAATAATATAGATGACCAAAACATAAAAATAAACCTCGATCCTCTTAATTTCTTATGACATTTTTGTGTATATGTACGCCATTGTTCATCTCTCAATTACATGGCCGTTTCAGATACTTTAATTTCATTAGATTAACACAAAACATCACTTTGTTGAAAGATTTGGCATTTAAATATACGGTGTTCTCTGTGATATCCGACTTCTGCGTTATCCGATATACTTATTGGTCCCGATCAATTTCCTTTGTCGGTTTACGACATTCAGAAAAATATCAATAAGCTAATTAATAACAACTTACTAGTTCTTGTGGTTTCAGATTTATCATTATGGGATTATCTCGAACTGATAAATGATGTTGATAACCAGCAAATGCCAAGCGATGACCAATTGAATCACCTACTAAATGTATACTGGCGCCCATTACAAAAAATATTACAATGATATAGGTAATAGTGGAAGGTATTTTCCTTGGACTTCTTTCTATTAGCTGAAATATTTAATTACAAATAGTTGCATGTTTCCTAATCAGTATCTCTTTTAAAATAAAAATACTTTCATCATTGTTTATTAACAATCGTCAACGCAAATACCGCCTAAAAATTTATGTTATTTTGAAGGGCAAGCTATCTGTATGGAATGGACAAAGAATTTAAACCTTAAGATTTCAATAAGTTGGTTGGCTTGTTAATAGATGACAAGTTAAAGTTCGCTTCCAGCTTAAGCCGATATTGCAGATTATCACGTAGATAAGAAGATACATACATAGTATTAATATTCTAAATCTGTTTTTTTTTCAGTTTTATCAAGTTCGAGATTATATAGAACATCAAGTTTGGCATAAAATCAATAACCGTACCTTCAGCAGACAAAATGGCGTTATAACGTTGTATGCCATATGAAAATAATCTCCTATACTCATACGATTCAGCGGAGACCATTCCAAAGGAACAAATGTCTGAAAATATTACATCATAGAAATACATTGATATTGACAGAATTGGTTACTTCCGTTAGATATGCACCTCGAACAAACGCCAGGCAATGAAGTCCATTTGCAGTGAAGAAAAATCGAAAACTGATACTCGTACGTTCATGATCGAAATCAAAATTAGACTTAAAAATTAGTGTAGATTTGTAAATAGGATGTCGTTTATTAAGGTGTTCAAAAAGCGTTATTGGTAGCCTATAGGGAGAATTAAGCTTTAAGTCTTACTGCTGCAATGGGTCTGCCGAAGTCAAATATCCAGTTTTCAAGAGCTAATAACAACCAAATATCATAATGAAATCCAGGACTAGTCGTCGAAACTTTCGATTTATACCTGAAACAAAACGAAATCGTAAAAAGCAATGCATTGTACTAAGATTTTCACACTCTGACCAAACCAAAGTACAGCAGTAACTGATGATATTATACAAATTAGGAGTTTTGAATGCCAATTTCTTGAATTTTGATGTATGAAATTCCAATTTCTTTCAGAATGTGGATATAAAAAAAGTTATAAAATATAGCCCCGTGGATGTTTATATCCATATATTTACATTGAATTACTCAAAACTTTCCATGGTCAATATACAAATCATGTCGCATAACACAGATACAAGTTGTGACCAGTGGCGTTTCTTGGAAACATCATTCGAGGGGGGGTCGATCAGAGGCCACAAAATATTCCGGGGAGAGCGCAGGTCATTCTTTCGCTGTGTAAAATGGTGAAAAATAAAATAAAAGATGGGGGGGGGGGGGGGAACCCAGACCAGCCTCTCTTCTTGCCCCGCCTCCACGAAACCCCTTTATTGAAATGCCACTGGTTGTAAGAGAAAGAAATATTTTCAACGGAATTTCTGAATAAAGGCATTGAAGGTTGATTTTTCTTATTAACACTGAAAGAGATGGGATGAATTAGCGAATTATGTCCATACCTGCCAACTTGTTTATTCTGTTTATCTCCATTCACTTCTCTTCGTCTTCTCGTTTCCATTTCAAATTCGTTGTTTACTGTAATACACGCGATTGCATCGATTATGAATTCTACTTTCGATTCATGAAATAATAGATGTATTCAGTACGAGAGAACGTTTCTGAAATGATGGTCAAACATCTGCTATGAGACACACAATTCATTACTATAACAATTAAAGCGACGTCCTGAATCAACACTGGGTGATAAGCAAAGTGCGTTGATTAAATGTACCTTGACTTGACTTTTATGTGTAACGTGACCTATTTACTTATTTTAATATTTGAGGGTCGATTTCAATACAACAAGAGAACAGTTTACTCGTGTTCTCCGTTATTAACGCTCAAGAACATCGAGGAACAAAACAAACGGATATTTAAAAGTCCGCTTTCTGTATTATTTTATCTATAAATGTAATCTACAAATATGTTCCTAGTATCTAAAGATTGATAAGATACGGCTTGTGCCTTACAGGTCATGAACGTGCATACTAACATAACACTAATACACTGTATAGAAACATTCCGTCCGATAAGGTAGTTGTCACTACAATGTCTCGACCAACGTATGTAAACAGCTAGCCCGGGGTCTCAAGGGGGGGGGGGGGGGCAATTTT